CGAGGTAACCGCAGGATGTCAGGGTTATAGTTTTATTGCTAACAGCTTTCACAAGAAGGGCTTTAATAAACAGAACTTACTGGTGCGACTTTGCCTAAGTGAAAAAAAAAAAAAAAAAAAAAAAAAAAAAATTAATTGTTTTGTAACCGTAATTAAGATCAACCCAATTTTTTTTTCATAAAAATAAACTTTGCAATTAAGGTTAGAGTTAGGGTGAGGCTAAGAATAGGAAAGGGCTAGTTTATATCAAAGAATAGTTTCATAGTCAAAATTTTAAGTTATTAACGATTATTTAAAAAAAAAGTTTTTGTTTTGATTTCACGTTACACCTGATCTTAAAATTTGATTGGCTTTATTGGATGCGGCTACAGTAACCGCGGTAACAAATTTATTACTCCATGAAGAACAAATTACCACATAAGCTTATATATATACCTGATACTGTATCTTAACAGATTGGCCAATTCTATGCTGTCATAAAAAGTTTTAACTTTTATTGACCCGGCCAAGTTATGAGAACTAAAGAATTTTGTTTATCTTTATTTGATGATAATTGTTATACATAATTCTAGTATTATATTGAATATAATTATTTAAAAGAAGATAATAATGGTGTATCTAGTATAGAATAATTTAAAAGTAGTTTTGTTAGTGGTGAATTGAAATTCTGTATAGACTTTACGTAGTCAATGTAAATCTTGTTAAGTTTTTGTCGAATGAGTTGGGTCAGAATTATTAAGGATATTTATATACAACTATTCTTTTTACGCATGAAAATATTAGCATTAACATTAAATAAAATTAAACCCCGAACCAAAAAAATTTATTATTACATAATAAAGAATTGTCTATAGATTATATAACACATAAACGAAATTTTAAAAATAATTATAATGTGTCCCTTGTTTTCCTTGTTCAGCATCATTAACTTTTGTCTTTCTTAAATTCTTTACGCATTTACCAGTGCTCCTGACTGCATTGCAACATGAGCCAATACTTAATAATATGGCAGCAACAGTCAGTAAAGCAGCGCTCAAAGCAGCCAAATAAATGGCAGGGCCGGTTTGTTGACTTCCAATACCAGGAATAATAGAAATCAGGTCAAAGACCCAAACAAAAAGTAAGAGATCAAAAATACAAGCGAGAATATTAAGAAATGCTGAAGTTACTATGAGGAATGTAGCAATAATTGTAAGATTAAAGTATAGAAAAGGTAATGAAATTATATTAAATATAAAAGCTAATAGATAAGGAATTGAGAAAAAACCCGCAATATTAGAAGTGGGACTTTTTGGTTTAAAGTTATCGAAAGAGCTTAATAGCTTAGATAATAATTCCTGGGCTTTTGCTGCAATATCCTGAGCAGCATTCACAGCAGTATTTGCTGCATCGTTGACAGCACTACTAACGGCCGAAGCAGCCGGTCCTACACTAGAAGGAACATCAGGAACCGAAGGAGTTGGGATTGAAGGAGTTGGGACATTTGGGATATCGAGACGTTTGCGCTTTGATGATTTATTATTAATTTCCGAAGAGGAGGGTACTAAAAAAGAAAATTGATTTGAGATAAATGCCAAGAAAAACAGAAACCAATAATTTAATGCATACCTTTGTCAAAATTATTAACTAGTGAAGGAGTAGTACATTTATCATCCACACAATGTCCATATAGAGTGAATGTAATATCGTTTGTTTTCGTAATAAATGATATCTTTGAATCAAAAATGAATTTTGACAAAAAAATAGTTTTAGAACTACCGACCAAAAGAATAAAAAGAAGTAGGATTGACAAAATAATTAGGATGACAGAAGAAAATATTAAAGGTTTTTCTCTTGACGGCCGGACTATATAAGAATGAAAGAATGTTTGAAGTGGCGAGGCCACATAAGTATGAAAGAAAGAATGACTTTCAGGACTTTCAGGTTTTTCGGTATCAGTATTAGAAGTGACGGAAAAACGTCGATTTTGCTTTTTTGGTCCGGGGATTTCAGATAATCTATTTTCAAACATCTTTGCAGTCCGGCTGAGTATATGTGTATATAATCTATAGAATTCTTATTTAACTTTGAGCAAAGTTTCTGGTTGACTTGAACGGAAACGCGCTGCGTGTCAACATTTTCCTAGACTGATGGAAACCATGTATTTATAAAGAATTCATTCCTTGTTTTCTAAAACCTGTACGATAGTATAACGATAAATGCGTAAATGCCATATGTATTTTAAACTAAGCAACTTAATTGTTTGTTCGATAAATTTAGAATAATACTTACAAAGGTGGCCCGTTCCATTTCAGTATACCTTTGTTTCATCAAACGCCGGAGCCCGAGCAGTTGATTACAATGCAGTCTTTGTTTGCATGAATACAGGTAGATCATCGTTACAAAAAATAATTATATAACTTTATTTTATTGGTCAAAAAGTTGCAACACGAAGAATGACTATTTTTTATGTTAAATGTTTTCAAACCGTTAATCTTGTTTGAAGATCATTTATGAAAAGGTGCGTAAATTCGTGTAAACTTTTGTCCAAAAGATAATAGTATATTGTGAATGTGTATATTGTGGATGTTAGGTTTTTAGCTGGTACCAAATTCGATCCGTACACTTGAGAAGTGACATTACTATAAATTTGAAAATTAGGCTTTCCGTACATCATGTAAGTTTATTAAGGGTCTCTACTTTTATGAAATTGTAAACAAAGAAATTGGATACATATCTGTTAAAGTGTAAGTTTACATACGATTAGGCATAATAAAATTCATTGCGCATGTATTGTACAAAATTAACAATTAGCTGTGCAAAATGCACAAAAAAAAAATAAAACAACGATGTATAACTTTGCACATTTGTGCCAAATTTTTATCTATACATTATTAAAGCTGATTTATCAAATATAAATCTTCTGAACTTTATTGCTAAATATGTTGCGGTATTATATAATATAATACTGTGTACTACGTATAAGGTAAATGCGTGTATTTTGACGAATGTGGATATTCTGACGAATTGTACATATTACAAGAAAACTAGACTTTTTTTCTAAGAAAATCAAAATTTATTCACTAAGTAAAATTGTTCGAAATTTTATCTTTTATTTAAGCAATAGATCATAAAAATTTTCTAAATGAGGGGCAAGATCACCTCTCCTTGTTCAATTTCATTATTTATTTCGAAGCATTGTATTGTACCTAGCTCTGTAATAATTTTTGACTGCCTATTCACAAAGAGGTTTATAATAAACCTAATTGTTATTTTTCAAAATTTGGCGCATTACAAATAATTTTTCATTAATAAGATTTTTCGTTAAACGTCTTTGCGCAGCAAATCAATTTCTTGCGTCATAACGTATAATGAATGAACTTATTGATAAAAATTATTCGTATTGCGCAAAAATTTGAGTAAATTTCGGGATGTGTAAAAGGTGGCATTTCGAACATCTTTACTTAGTAAAGATTAATTTACTTAGCAAAAAGTCTTGCTCTAAGTGTAAAATGATTCTTAACTAAAAATCGATATATGATCGTCGAGTTCGTCAAAATATCCACAGGTAAGTTACAAATTATTGCTACGTTGAGATCATATAGTTTATATAAAGAGAGTTTAAGATCCAAGTATAGTGACAAACTTTAAAAAATATTATCCAATTATCAATTATCTATTTTAAAGAATTGTTCATCTTGTCAATTGATTAGTAATATATATATGAGCAAAACAATATAATTAAATAAAATTTGATTTAATTACACAAAATTTTAATTTTACTACATATACTATATAATTTGCAGTACTTGCATATAAAATATGCATTACCTATAAGATCTTTTGAGTAGTAATAAATAACTTAGATGGAGATAAAAAAACTGTAAAATACCAGATATAAAATGCTAAAATCTTTTGCAATATAGAGTAACTTTTATAAAATATTAATTGGGTCATTTATACTGTTACAAAATTATAGCCTTTTAAGTAAAATACAACCAAATAACAAGGTTACCTGGTACAGTAATTAACTATTGCAAATATATATAGAGTAGAGATGTAGTTGTTCACTTAATTATACAGCAACAACAAATAGTTCAAAATGACAATAGTATATAAAATAGCTTTATTTAATACAAAAATGGTGATAAATCTTGTCTGTAGAAATTATTTTAAAGAAGAAATATTACACTTTACAAGATAAGAAAGGTTAAAGAATATCAGAATTTAAGCAAAATATAAAAACTTAAGAATTGGCAGAAAGAAAAAAAAGGCATTCTTTATATATCTTTTCTACCTAAAGCAAAAGTATACAGTATATAAGGAGATATTGATGAACAAGTAACATTAGTGAGAGAAGTTGGGAGATTATACTGAGGAGGTTGGGAATTGTACTAGAGAAAGTTGGATAAATATAAACATTATTCAATTTGTTTATATTTTATTTATTATTTGTGAGAAAGAACTTGGGGAAGAAGAATCTGAAGGACTTTGCAATATGGTTTAGGATTTTTGATGTAATATCTTGTGTTTGAAATACTTAGAATTTTAAGTAAAAGAATCTGGAAGATTCTGTATAGAAAAACTTGAAGAAAATTGTATTACTCTTTGGTATTTTTTTTATATAATCTAAAGTATTCTTTTGTATAATTTTTTTTTTTTTAATATTTAAGATGAGGTCATGCCTTTAGTTTTTATTAACATATACCTAGATAAATTTTTACATATATGCTAACGTAGTACTACAGAGACTTAGACTAATTTATCTATGACCTAAACCTACTAGAGTGGTTCATACCCCACATATGACTCATCTAGTTTAACACTTCTTAACTAACTATTTCTAGAAATATTATATTTTCCTCATATTTCATATAACTAATTATAACTTCCAATTTGGTATATCAGATGTCCGCTCCTAATGAGCTTCCAAGTTGGTTACCTGCAAGTATGATCTACTGCAATTTCTTTCTAAGGTATTTTATTTATGCAATTATAATTAGTACAGGTGGTCTAATAGCCTTATATCTTAAACCAGAAACTTGCTGCCTAGTTGGGTTTACCACATGACAGAGTTGATATTCTATTATCGAATTAAGGACTTGCACTACCTTAACTGATTTGTATCCCTTCATGCATCATCTCTCTCTATAAATGCTCTAATCTCCTACTTATCTATCCAGGTATTACTAACTCATATCTTAAGCCAAGCCCTGCTACTACTGCTGATTTGCTATCTCAGAACTTAATGTTTTTTTCTGATATAGTGGTACTAAATAATCTATTTGTACTTCCTCATATAGTATATTACTAGAACCATATTGTGTAGTTACTTTAATAATCTATCTTATTAAAGACCAGCCTAATATCACAAAATTCCTTAAGTAGCAAGCAATTCTACTTCTAATCATAGGCCTTGTGTCATGTTACTAGGAGACATATTCTAATTCACCTTGACTTCCAACTTAACTCTTTATTATTGGTTGGTGTTACATTATTATTGATGTATTTTAACTTTTTTCATCAAAGACTTTCATATAGGTATGACTAGAGCTCTAACCTGATTCCTTTATATGTACTAGATTAGCTCGTCTACCTCTATGAAATTACCTTCTTTAGCTAGTTGTTTTATAGTACCAGAGGTGCTTCTTGATTAGATAAGGTCAATTCTATACTACAGCCCTTTCACATGTTCACCACTTCTTTTATCATTTCAGTTTTGATAGTATTGTATCACTCTATCAAGCAATTACCCAGCACCATTTTCAAATTAGGACTAATGCATACAATTCAGTGATTATCCTTCTAAACAAGTACTCCACAAGCTAGATACAAAGATGTTGGTGTTGCCTAATATAGAGGTGAAGTAATGTTGGTATTGCCTCTAAGTCACTCCAACCAGAGGACTAATTCGTATAATTTTCTACTTCTGTAATGCTGCTATCACATATGATGTTTGCACTCTATGATCAGAGCTTCTTCTGGAAATTCCTATTTCAAAACCATACTTATACTTGAACTTTTCACAGAGTTTTGTATCTGATTATGGTTTCATTTTTAAGGTTATAGTAACAAATTTGAAAATTTGCCACCAGCTTGACTCAAACTATCGATCTTGCCTGTGGGGTTTGGAAGCTTAACTAATAAGCTATAGGGCCCAAACCCTCTTTTGTATAATTTGTATTATATTAGATCACATAAATTACATAATTATATAATATTTTATTTTGACTAATTAGATTATTCTTATATAATAACTATAAATTACTTTTTTTTTTTTTTTTGTTAAGATGATCACTTTAAGGTCTGACACATTTTATTGAACTTTGGATCAAATACTAGGGCAATCACATAGGCTACTTCTAATTTTGTTATATTAATGAGAATATATTCTAGTCATATCTGCACTTTTTAAGCACCTAATTAAGTAGTTTCCTATTACTAAGTACTATACTAGATGCTGTACTCAAAACCCACTATTGCTTGAATTATCCAATTAAATCCTCTGATCAACTTAGCGCCATTAGATATTCTCTCTAAAGAGAAACTGCCACTAAGGCCTTTTAGGACTACTTTATCTTCGTAATAAATCTACTAGAGTGGTCCATGTCTCACACATATATCATCTAGGTTTTCAGTAACTTATGCTTAGACTGTGGTCAAGTACTTGCAGCTTTTTACCTCCACTACTGTTACCTACTTTGTGCCCTTGCAAAGTTTACTTAAACCCCAGCACCTACTTTATAGACTATCAACAATACTTCGATACTAACTAACGGTGCTTCAAACTTCCAATACAGATGGCCCAGAAGGGACCAGTAGGTGTTCTCTAGTATTCTGAATGAATCGTTTTTTTTCTGACTGGTCTGGCGGCCTGGTTGGTATAGTGCTTGCCAAATACTCAGTTTTCATTTAGTTTACTGCTAGTGTCCAGTTCCTCAGATAATAATCCTTTATGTAGTATCATCAAAGATCTGTACTATCTCTTTAATTAGAACTTTTCAAGCAGGCTTCTATATCTTCCAATTCCTT